TCTAGACTGCCGCTGGGACTTCTTCAAATTTGGCCACATCAGCTTCATCGCAGGAGGTGCCGCTCCATATCCCCACTGTAGTTCCGACTGTTGTTCCTTATACGCTGACACCGACCGAGGAACAACTCATGAGAGCGCTCGGCAGCATTCAACAAGGGATGGCTGGACTACAAGCGCACCTCGCTCATGTGGAGAAAGCTCAAGCTGCTCAAGGGGCATTCATCACTTCTCAAGCGGCTCAAGCCGCCAACGCCGCTGCGACACCCGCCATCATCGCTTCTCCTCCACCTACTATTGAGCCTAACCAAAGGCATGAGGGACAAAGGGCTACTGATCGCCCGCTTGCTGAAGTCCCCATGGACGTTCACTATCAGTCCCTCATGGATAATACACCAATTACAAGTTCAGCGCCCAGAGGCTCTGGCCATTATGAGGTGAAGCCAGCGCTTGTCAGCTTGGCAAGCCAGAACCAATTCTATGGGCTGCTCAACAAAAGTCCGTATGAGCATTTACAGAAATTTAACATGATTGCTGCCACCTCCAAATCACACGGCATCACGGAGGACGCTGTGAAGTTAATATTGTTTCCCTTTTCTTTAACAGGAGAAGCCAGGAAATGGTTCGATAATTTCTATCCCATTCCTGCCACTTTTAAGGAAGCAGCGCAGGCCTCTGTGAGCAAATATCATCTTGTATCAAAGACCATTCATCATAGGAATAAAATTTTAAGTTTCAAGATTGCGAGTGACCAGACCCTTCCTAAAGCCTGGAGCCGCTACAAGAAATTGCTTCGCAACTGCCCTCATCATGAGATCCCTAACTTCATGGAGCTGCAGATTTTCTACTTAGGAATCATTCCTGAACTAAGGATGTCCTTGGATGCAGCGGCAGGAAGCTCGCTGATGGGGCGATGTGCCTCAGAAGCGAGGGCTTTGATAGAAAGGATGGCGACCAATCAGATTAGTTGGCCAGAGACCAACAGGCCAGAGCCATCGAGGGGTCTATACTAGGTCCTTGTTTCAGTTTCACACAATGCATGGATTGACAGTTTGTCAGTTCAAGTTAAAGAGCTGTCTAAGCTCGTGAAGCAGGAATTGCGTAACAGAGGAAAACAAACAGTAGATAAGGCCACGGTCACTGAGGAGTGCACCTATGTGAACCAATCAAGCCCGCAGGTTGCTGAGAGCTCATCTGAGCAGACTCAGAATCCAATGGAGGTTTTTTATATGGCCAACAGAAATGCTCTTTAGTTCCAACAATATCATAAAGGGCATAATCAAGGGCCCACTGGACTGCGTCCTTAGCATCAATTTCAACAGCCGCAACAATTCGCTGCGCAACAATATCATCAAGGGGGATTCTATCCACAACAACAGTACTTTCAGACCCCCCACTTTTTGCAGCAGACACCTGTTTTTGCCTAACCTCCCATAGCGGCTCAACAGCCGCTGAAACTGGAGGAGCTCTAGAGGAACACCGAGCGTGCAAATTAGGAGTTCCAACGAAATACGTTTGCCTCGATCAAGATATTGGAAATTCAGGTCGGGCAGATAGCCGAGGCTATGAAGCTGAAGCAGAAGGGAACATTTCCTGGGACAGTTGAGACTGCCCCGAACCAAGCGAAGGCCATAGAGACAAGGAGTGGAAAACAAACACAATAGCCACCGCTACCAGACAAAGGTACTAATCTTTCTTCTACTTCTTTTGTTGCTAATTTTCCTGTATAGGATGACGTTAGACAGATTCCAACTGAGGAAGAAGGTCCATCCCAGCCACGAGCGATACCAGCCGCTCAGATACCTGAACAGAAAGAAAAGAGTCCCGCTCAGCCTGTGGTTAGGGCTCCCTTTCTTACCAGACTTGGGAAAAAGGACAATTCCAAGGAATTTGATACGTTTGTGCATACTTTCCGTAGTCTTAAAGTTACTATATAAGTTCATGAAAGATATAATCAATCGGAAGCGGGCATTTCTTGATGAAGCGGCAGTGGTGCAACTAGAGAGTGTGCAGCGCTGTATTTAAGGAGGACCTCCCAAAGAAACTAAGCGATCCTGGGAGTTTTATCATTATTTGTACTATTAGAAATTTAGAGTCGATTAGGGCATTATGTGATTTAGGAGCAAATATCAATTGTTTGCCTTTTTCATTTTTTCTAAATTAGGGCTTTATGAATTAGAAGCATGCAGGACTGTAATTCAACTTGCCAACAAATCAATAAGACTTTTGAAAGGAATTATTCATGATGTACTAGTGCAAGTAAACAAATTTTCCCTGCAGATTTCATAATAATGGAAATGAGTGAAGATCGCGAAATTCCAATTATTTTGGGGAGACCTTTCCTAGCCACCGCTCGAGCAACTATTAATGTCGCCCAAGGAGAAATCACACTGAGTTTAGGTGGAGATAGGGTCACATTTTCCATGAACAAAGCAATGCGCCATCCTCAAGAAGAAAATTGTGATTTTATTGATGAGTTAAATGAATTATCAATTTTTGATAACTATATGACATTTAAACTCTGAAAGAAATTTCAGATAATGGATCATTCAAGCTGGACGATGTTATTGACTCCAGTGGGGCAAGTAATGAAAGAACAACTCCCACTGAGTCTATTGAGAAAGCAAAGCGAGAGCTAGAGAGCAATTCCTGCATTAAAGACGAGTTGAAGAAGTTACCTGAGCACCTCAAATACATATAATTTTTCCTGGAGGAGACTTACCAATTGATAATCTCCGCCTCACTACTGTCGGACTAGGAGGCTCAACTCGTCTCACTTCTAAAAAGAAGAAAAGCGGCATTTGCATGGAAGATCACTCACATAAAGGGAATCAGCCCAGTGGTGTGTATGCACCATATCAGGTTAGACGTTGATGCACGACCATGCAGACAGCCTCAACGGCGCTTAAACAAAAATATGCAAGAGGTAGTTAAAAGAGAGATAATCAAACTATTCGATGCAGGAATCATCTACCCTATCGGTGACAACCAGTGGCTCAGCCCAACCTAGGTGGTTCCCAAGAAAGGAGGCTTCATCGAGCAGACAAGGGACAATGGGGAGGTTTTTATGACAAGACCTGTCACTGGTTGGAGGGTATGCATCGATTATAGGAGGTTGAATGCTGCAACAAAAAAGGACCATTTCCCTCTGCCATTCCTTGATCAATGCCTGGAGAAGCTCGCAGGATACGAATACTACTGTTTCCTCGATGGCTACTCAGGCTACCATAAGATTCCCATCAAGCCAAAAGACTGTTAGAAGACCACATTTACTTGTCCTTATGGTACGTTCGCTTATAGGAGGATGCTGTTTGGGCTTTGCAACGCCCCGACCAACTTTCAGCGATGCATGTATCATATATTTAGTGATCTCCTGAACTCCTGCATAGAAGTTTTTATAGATGACTTCTCGGTTTATGGCAAGACATTTTCTAGATCCTGAATAACTTGGCAAAAGTACTTCTTCGCTGCATTGAGACTGACCTCGTGCTGAATTGGGAGAAGTGTCATTTAATGGTGAATGAAGGAATTGTCTTAGGCCATAAGATCTCAGCTGCGGGAATTGAGGTAGACAAATCTAAAAGTAGTGTAATTGAAAAGATGCCAGCCCTCTCGAATGAGAATGGAGTAAGAAGTTTCCTTGGACATGCGGGGTTTTACTGTCGCTTCATCAAGGGCTTCAGTCAAATCACACAACCACTTACGGCACTGCTGTACAAGGATGCTCAATTTGATTGGTCGAGCGAGTGTGAAGAGCCTTTCCTCATTCTGAAGGAAAAGCTAACCACCGCTCCCATCATTTCTGCACCATTGTGGAGCGAGCCATTGACAAAGAGTGGAATCCAAGCTGAATGTTATTTACTATGCAAGTAAATCATTGGATTTTGCTCATAAGAATTACATTACAACCGAGAAGGAGCTGCTAGCTATTGTCTTCGCTTTCGAGAAATTTAGGCAATATCTTATAAGAAGCAAGACCATTGTTCATACAGATCATGCAGCAATCAAATATTTGATGGAGAAGAAGGAGACAAAGGCCCGCTTGATCAGATGGGTGTTGTTGCTCCAAGAATTTGATATAGAGATCAAGGATAGAAAAGGGAAGGAAAATCACGTTGCAAACCACCTCAGCAGATTAAGGCAAGCAGAGGACATATCTCATGTTATCAATGAACTATTTCCAGATGAGAAGCTGTTCCTGGTTCAAGCGAATGAGTCATGGTTTGCTGACCTGACAAATTTCTTTGCCACGGGACAGTTTCCTGCGCATACAATACAAAGGGAAAAGAAGATATTGCTCAGTTTGGCGAAGGATTATTTTTGGGATGAACCCTATTTGTTTAACATTGGCTTAGATGGGATAATCCGCCACTGTGTAGCGGAATCTGAGATCCCGCTGATTTTAAACGAATGTCATGGGTCTATGTAGGAGGGCATTTCGCTGGCTTGTGCACAACGGCCAAATTTTTGCAGTCAGGCTTCTTTTGGCCTACCCTATAGAAAGATGTTGATGCCTTTGCTAAATCTTGCGACAAGTGTCAGAGACTAGGCTCTATCTCAAAGCGGGATGAGATGCCCCAAACTGGAGTCTTGTTTGTGGATATTTTTTATGTATGGGGGATAGATTTTATGGGCCCCTTCCCGAACTCAAATGGGAAACTATACATTCTAGTGGCAGTGGATTATGTGAGCAAATGGGTCCAAGCGCAAGCGCTCCCAACAAATGATGCTCGATCAGTGATCCAATTCCTCAAATATACCATTTTCCCAAGGTTCGGGGTCCCTAGAACTATCATAAGCAATGAAGGCACCCATTTTGTAATGGTGTTCGTCAGCATCTAACTACCCCCTATCACCCACAAGCAAGCAGTCAGGTGGGAATTTCAAATAGAGAGATCAAGCATATCCTCCATACCACAGTAAATAAAAGTCGTAAGAATTGGACAGAAAAATTGGATGATGCACTATGAGCATATAGAACAACCTTCAAAACTCCAATATGAATGTCCCCATATAGACTTGTGTATGGAAAAGCCTGCTATCTACCTCTAGAACTCGAGCACCGCGCATATTGGGCTATCAAATATCTGAATTTTGATCTTCTTCCTGCGCAGAAGAAGCGCGCCGAACGACTGCTCGATCTGACTGAGTTCCGATATCTTGCATATGAAAGCACAAAACTCCATAAGGAAATGATGAAATTCTATCACGACAGGATGTTGAAGAAGAAAGAATTGACTGAGGGATCCAAGGTTCTGTTATACGATACTAGGCTTCACTTATTCCAAGGGAAATTGAGATCACGGTGGACTGGGCCATATATAGTCAGACAAGTTCTGCCAAGTGGAGCCATAAGAATCAGTAATGTGGACAACCCCAGGGAAAGCGATTCCTTCCTTGTCAATGGAGCGAGATTGAAACCATATATTGAAGGGCCTATTTTGCAGCGGGCCAATGCAGATATTAATCTGGTGGAGGTGCAGAAACTCGCTCAGTGATAGAATTACAAATGATATCCAGAGTGCCCTATCCCAAAAACGTCAACATTACAACTTTCTTTACCGCTTTTGTAGTTAGAGGTTACAGTTTCCTTTACCGCTTTCATAATTAGGATTTACAGCTTTTTTTACCGCTTTCATAGTTAGAGTTTACAGCTTTAGTCATCGCTTTCCATAGAATAGTTGTCATTGCTTTAATAGTTAGGATTATTGTTTTTTAGAAGTAGTTTAACGTTTACCTTCTTAGGAGAAGTAGTTAGAATTTTAACTTCTAACCTAAGCCTGACCCAAGCCAATCATCGCTTCGCTTGCCTCATTCTGATACATATTGGAAGAGCAGTACCGCTCACCCAGTACCACTTTCATCATCGCTTGTGTGTCATACAAAGGTATTTAGAAGTACTATTTTAACCGCTCACCCGCCCTGAAATCCCACCCTTATACCTTTATATTAATATGCATTGGACTAGTTTACTACTTCGCTCACCCTTTCATATAAGCGCCAGTGTCCTCTATAAATACCCCAGTTCACAGCCATTTTCCACTTTCACCCCACAGTAACTTCCTCAAGACGCTTCAGTAACTGTCATTTCTCTGCGCACAAAAATTCAAATATCTCGATTTTTTTAGCCAATTTTAGCTCAATCTAAGGTAAGAAGATCTAGGCTAACCTTGGTCCATAACTTCGATTTCATGGTTGATTTTCCTTGATTTGTTGAACAATAACACAGAATCAAACATTATTTTTGTGAAAACTGTCTGTTCTTCAACTGTTGCGAAACTTTTTATACCTTCGATTTCTGTGAATCTAAGTTTGTTATCTGCTAGATTTAGATATAATAACTGATATACTTGCTTCGTATGGATCAATTTTAAAATAACCTGTATGTTTGGGCATTGTTTTTTTATTTTCTCCATTTTGCAACGAAACACTTACTGAAGTGTTCTATTCCGTAGTGAGGGGGAGGATTTAGGGTTCAAATCACTGAGATTTAGGAAATTACTGCATTTATATGAATATTGTTTACATTTTGGAACTAATAAGGCAGGATTTATAAAGTTTCCCAAATTAAACAATATAAATCTAAAAAAAAACCCTAGGTTCAAAACAAGCCAGCAAAATAGATCCAAGCAAGCAAGAAGCATCATGCAAGGAGTTCAAGAGGATTGAGGAGAAAGTCAAAAAAAGGATTCAACGAATCACATCTACAGATGGGCGGAAGGTAGTAACTACAACCTCGGGGGCGAATTTGTGGAACCAGCACCGCCAGAGGCATAGTACAGAAGGAGGAGGCCACTGGAGTTAAATAAGGACTGGGGAAAGCTCAGAGAACTTAACTCCATTCCATTTAGGAAATTCATCCCAGAGTTCCTGGAGGATTACCTCATATTTGAATACATTGAGGAAACAGAACAGAGGTATCCGGTGAGCGATTGGTGGTTGGATTAAGAGGAGTTGAAAGACTTTCAGTTGAAGGAGTTGAGGAAAGAATTTGCTCGCCAATAGATAGGAGAAAAAATGAAGGCCTTCAGAAGCGAGAAAGTTTCAAAGAAGAACGCCGCCGATGCTGCCAAGGACGTGTTGAGACGCAAGCAGTTCGACTATGTCTATTTTGTGAGCGTCGAGGCAGCGGCAGCATATGAGAAGGCAAAAACAATGGGGATCCTCTGTGAGAGAGGATTTGACCTTGAGAAAATCTCAGGCCCGCTCGCCAACTAGCTGAAGGAGCGGGGCCTGACCTAGTTGATCCAGAATCCCAAGGACCCAGTGGAAGTGTGATAACTCTTGATTTTGCCATATTTTATAGCTTATATTTATTTAATTAATTATTTATTTATGTCGAGTTTTGGTATTATTTATGTTAATTTATTCTAATAATTATATTCATTTCGTCTTGTTTGTATAATATTAAATTATTAGTTTTTAAGTGTAATTTATAATTATTTTGGTGTATAAATTAAATTAATTGATGTGTTTCTTGAATTATATTTTTTGGCATTATTTATGTGCTATTTAAGTATTTAATTTTAACTAAATTAATTTTATTTAATAAGTATTATTTTATTTAAATAAATATTTATAAGATGTTCGTTATTTATATAGGTGAAATAATGCTTGAAAACTGATATGGGAGTCCAAAACTGGCCTTATAAAGTGAAAAAATGGCTTCAGAAGCGAAAAATAGTCACTGGCGTGAAAGTCAACAAAAGTCAACAGTCAATGCCTAAAAGTCAACGCGCGAAAGTCAAAGTCAACCGAGCACGGAAGACAAGCGGCGGCTGACACGAAAGTGCGCAAGCGCGGAAAGCGAGCGGTTTTGGCGTTGAAATGAGTGAAGCGATGACAGCTGCACGGAAACAAGCGACGGCTGCACGGAAACTTTGGCGTGGAAGTGAGCGAAGCGGCGGCTGGCGCGGACTCCATGAGCGGCGGCTGCATTAATTCTCGCTGCAATCATTGCTTGTATTTACTGCTCTGCACCCCCAGCTCCTGCATTTATTCCAACCCTGCATTTATTTTTGCACTCTCTCAGCTCCTATATTAAATTCCTGCACTCATTTTTAGCCAATTTTTGGCTATTTTTGTGTAATCTTTATTCTAGAACCTTCTAGAAAATAGGTAGTTATTAGTAGTTATATTAGTAGCTATTTTTAGAGTTAGTTATTTATGGTTATTTTTAGAGATAGTTAGTAGTTATTTATGGGCGGTTGTAACCGCGAAGCTTCTAGAAGCTTTTTCCCCTATAAATATCCCCTCTAATTGTACCATATATATACATGATAGACATACATATATACACCATATATACACAATAATAAAAATTCCATACACTCCATTTTCTCTATTTCTTTTCTCCTATATTTTTATCTAGTTTAATAATACGAGATTTTCGGTTTTGTGTAACGAGCAAACTGATTTTCTCCCCTTTTTCTTTTAATTTCTGCATATTATTTTATCTAGTAAAATCCTATCATATTTCTCCGCCTCACCTTCACCCCAAAAAATTCCATGTTCGATTTGAATTGTTCAAGTTGGATTTCAACAAAGTTGCGGAAGGGTGATGGAAGAATCGACTATTTCAGCCCTGTTTCGCGCCAAAAGCAGATTCCGGGTAGTTCAACATAGCTAAGTACGCGGGAGCCTTGTCGACCTGCTTAGTTGCTGTTCTGAATTCGATTCCGATTAAAGAGAGGTATCAGAGGGGTAGAGCCACTAGCGGAACGGTTGGAAGAATAATTCATGGGGCATAGACGGTGGTCTATTGGGTCACAGAAATCTTTAGTGACAGTAGAGTTTCTTGCTTATAATGTTCTTCGCCGGGTGTCGCTGAAGCCTCGTTGTAAATCCCCTAAGGTCAAGTACCAACCGAGTCGAGAATCGGCTTAAGCGAGCAAATGCGATCACGCTCATTTCTCCGTGCCGCCCCGCAATTATACATATATTTTTCGCTATCACGCCATCGTCATCCCGCTCATTTCATCCATGGAAATCTAGCCATTAAGGAACGCAAAAGTCAGACACAAACGCCTCGCTTCATCATTTTCGAGATACGTATATTTTATCATTTTTTAATTAGATTTAATTTTTGCAATTTATCTTTTCAGTTTCTTCGATTGCATTAACTCATTGCACTTTTTCTAATTAAATATAGATATTCGCATATTCCCTGAGTTCGACCCGGACACTCACCGGTTAAAGAGATTTTTTATTTTTGACGAACTTTTTGGAGTTACTACACGAACACACACGACACTATTTTCATTTTATACATATATCATTTTTTTTGTATCTTAAAAGATATTTTAAAAACTCTCCAAAAATCTTCGATCAAAGTGTCACTGCTGAGGGAATTTTACGCGAATTTGAGCCAACCTGACAGTCTACGAAATGTATATGTTCGAGGAAGATGGGTAGACTACTCAGTGCAGAAGATCAATTGGGTCCTGGGCTGGGAACACCACTACCCCACCCAGGAGATTTAGAGCAGGCTACAGGCAATGGAGGACTGCAGCTCACTCGAGCTGCAGACACTTTATAGGACCTTCGCTACCACCCCAGAATATGATAAGAGAAACCTGAAATTTGGGTCGGTGGACGAAGAGAAAAAGGAATGGCTCAAGTGGTCGTTGAGCCGAATAATGATTACCACTCACACTACAGACATCCATCTTGATTTCCTCCTTGCCTTGCGCTCAATTTTGGGGGAAAAAACTGATATTGATTTGGGCGCGATTATTGGCATAAACATCTGGGCAAGAAGAAAAGTAGAACGAACGCTGGGTCACGGGACCCTGATTACAGAACTATACCGATGCCCGGGTGTCAGTCTGCCAACTCCAGCTCCAAATCTACAAATGAAGCCGCTGCTCCCAGCTGCCTTTCACAAAGCATGGCTGGAGTCCAAAGGGTTCACCCTCATCCCCAAACAGAAAAAGAGGAAGGCGAAAACGGCTATTCCTTCCCCTCCATCATAAAGAAGGATGAAAGTTGTGGGGGAGGAAATAATTTGAGAAGAGGTGGCACCCGAAGCTGATCGGGAAAAGGCCGCTGCAGGACCAGACTCAGAATGAACCGTCTCCAATGAAACTACCGCTGGTGAGGAGGAGGAGTCCCTCCGCTTTGCTCGGGAGATAGAGAAGGACCTATTCGATGCAGAAAAAGCCAGGAGCTATAAGGGAGGAAAGGCCCCGGAGGCAGCCGCTGGTGAAAAGAGGTCAAAGCGGAAAAAAGACCCCGATCCCGGAGCTTGCCGAGAAGAAGCAGAGGGTGAAGGCAGGAGAAGAGGAAGGGTAAAGCGGTAGAAGAAGAAGAAAATAAGGATACGATCCCGCTGTCCAGACTCAGGAAGGGGATCACTATTAGAGAACTCACCACTCAACCCGAACGACCTTCACCAGCGAGGCCAACAAGAGAGATGGTGCCACCTAAGCCACTGAGTCCAACTAGCGATGAACCTGCCCCCGTCAACCAGCAGGGGGCAAGTGAGCCAACTGCTGCT